CTGATAAGCATACTTTTTCCCGTATTAACACTTGCTTTCAAGTCATCAAATATCCTTCATTGATCATTGAATATGAATGAGTGTAAGTCAACAGTTACCTCTTTCATTTATGAGTTAGGTGGGTCTCTCCATGTTCAGTGGAATACTTTATCCATGGTGAGGGATTTTTTTTGTACATTAGTAAGATATCTGGAGTGGCAGTAAGAGCAGAGACCCTTTCTGTGGTCCCCTCCATACCATGGAAATGGTTAAAGAAGTCTCAATTAAGACAAAGAAGAGTCAGACTAGACCAAATCCTAATGATAAGAGCTATCATCTGTAAGAAAGGGCCAAGCAGGCACCTGAAAGAAAATAAATTCTGATGTCAACAGAATTTGTCTTCAATGCTCCCCTGCTCCCAATTCTCTTTTGGGGATCAGTCTCCCTGATTTGGTCAGTACCCTGTAGGTACTCTTTGGGATAGTCTGGGCTGTCCAGTCATCCCGTCTAGAGCTCTACTCGCATGCAGTGTTTATTCTCCAGGCCTTTCCTCGTCCGCTTTTCCTCTTTTTCAAAATTTACTTGCTCTATGTTCCATCCTGTCAGTGGGTTTTCCACTGCTGAGTCCCGTGGAACTATAAGCTGATCACCACTGGTAACAGGATTCTGGGATTTAACATGGAGAGAGTATCTTCCGTGAAACGGTAGCTCTCATGTTGACAACCTCAGCTTCTGGGACGGGAAGGATTATTGGTGATGAAACCTATAGAATGAAGACGCTGTAAGTTACCCCTGAGTCAATTCTCTGTATATAGTGCTAGTACTCTCACGGAGCAGAGCTAGGCCTTGTTGGGGTTACAGACAACTCGATGTGTGGTCCCTGGCCTCAACGAGCTTGCAGTCCAGCAGGGTGGGACAGCGAATCTTGGATGCCACCACCCCTTGAAATAATCTTACTTACTCATGGTAGATATTATCATGCGACTTTAAAGAATCAAGCCTCTGAATAGTAAACTCTTTCCTCAGTGTCTATATACGTAGTGAGTGGTGGAGGCAGGATTTGAATTCAGATCAGCTGTGGTTATCAAACTCATGTTCTTTCCAGTGTCCCAATTGCTATGGGAACAGAAGCGAAGAGGCTGGAGGAGGGACAGAGATGCAGTGCTGGGTGGGGTGGGTGTGGCCTGCTCCGGGGTCGGGGTACAGAGAAGGGAATGAGCCTTGTGGCTCGGAGAGCTAGAGCGAGCCTTGTAGGACACTGGGAAGTGGCGACAAGTCTGAAGCCATGAAGAACAACTTGTTCACATGGCAGCCACTGGACGAACAGAGGTCTTTTCAGGGAGGAAGACCAGTTTAAGGAAAGGCCTGGAAATAGGAATAAAATCATCCCGAAGGCCAAAACAGGGAGTACTCAAGGGGATGAAAATTATTCCTTGTGGCTCACCTGCTCTTAGACCACATCCCTGTTCAGCAGAGGGAGGCCGGGAGGGCCAGCATGGGAGGAGGTTTCCCTCGTCTAAGTGATCAGAACTCTGCAAACCTGGCCCGGCCCCCAGTCCTATCAGGAGCCACTGCCCCAGAGGAAGATGGTCAGGGTCCCCAAGATGAGGGGCTTTTTCTCAGAAGCCCCTGACAGACACGGGCTGCATGCAAACTTCTGGGGAAGGAGGGTGAGGAAGCCAGGTGCTTCTCCCTTCCCTTTTTGGAATTCCGGCCAGTTTCAATTTACATAACACAGCTTAATCCACAATACACAGAAACAGGAGCTGGGAGGCAGGTTCTTTCTCTCTTTCTCTTTTTTTTTCTCTCTGAGACACGGAAACCTTTATTTTCTCCCTACACCACAAACCGGTGCTGTTAAATAATATTGGATAATTGCACCTGTCGTACTCCCCATATTGTGCGGAGGAAAAATAATTGCTGGTTTTCTGCTTTGCAGTTTAGCTGTGACTTCGTCATTTGACTCGGAGCATGTCATTTTCTCCCATTTTAGACTGTGTACAGTCAAACTGTGTGAAAGGACCGTGGATAGCAGCCCTGCGTGTGTGAGTGGGCGCGGGCCTCATTCAGCAATGATTTCTAATTTATACAGCATTGAAAATCCACAGCTATAAATAAACAGTTCTGACTGGCTTTGCTGCCTACTCAAGTGCTTTATTAAAAAAAAAAAAAAGAGAGAGAGAGAGAAAAGAAAAAGAGCCACCAACTGCATGAGAGGGGGAAACAGCGTCTGGGGATGGATTCTGGTTTCTGACACTTGGGCCTGTAAGGGAGAGGCCCAGACTTGGGATGGGTTCAGGGCTCAGCCAGGTGGCCTTCTGGGAAGCCCGGCCTCCCCACTCCTTCCTCGGCCCCCTCCCGCTGCCCACGTGCACGCGCCATGTGTTTGGGGATTACAGTATATGCAACTAACTTCCTGTTATGACAAGTATTGTGAGCGAGTAGGTGCAGAGGAGCTGAAAATAGCTTGAGAAATGTATGACCCATTTGAGGAGAGGATGGGGCTAATGGATTGTTTAGGCAAACAAGAGTTTAAGTCTTCACCCCACACCGAAAATTGGTGTTCCATGTGATAGAGCAGCTCTAGAACCCACGGAGACCAGTCCACAAGGCACTGGAGGTGTTCCTCTCTCTGCCTCTGTGGTTGAGAGTCTCCACCAAGTTGGGGTCCCCCGACCACCACCTTTTGTCCAGCCTTGCAGAGGGACATGCATTTTTGTTTTGTTAAGTGAAAGCTTTCAGATGGCCGGTTATGGCTCTGCTCTATAATCAAGTGATAGGAAGGTGGGCTCAGGAATCGACCACGTGTGTGACCTTGGACCGGCCGTTGCCCTCCTCGGAAGCCAGTGACATACCAGAGCCAGCTCCTGTGCTCCTTGAGAGGACCAAGTGCTTATGCATCTCTCTTCCCAGCTCTGCATTCAGTGGCCCATGGCTAGCTTGAAAAAGATTGTGGTGGAGTGTTCACACCGCAGAAGGGCAAATGCTCCGATTTTCTTTTTCCCAGAGAGTTGGTTTTTAAACATTTACCAGCCCACTAATATCAGAAACTTGGTTTCTTCATTTGGAAATGAGGACATGATACATCTTCTGCTTAAATGATTCTGGTGAAGATGAAATGAACCATGGGGGTGAGGGCATGGCCCTACACAAAAATTATTGCTGATTCTCTCCCTGTGTGGTTGGCATTGTCTTCTAACCCCTATGGACCTGACCTTCTGTAGGCAGCAAATCCTAGATCTCTTAATGACTGTTTATTGTGTTTCATGTTTGCTGCACGTGTTTTGTTGCTTCTCCTTTCCTAAGTTCCAGCAGGACAGGAGAACCACTTACCTACTGGTGTATTTGCTCAGTGGGAGGTGGTTCTCAGGTATTTCTGGCATTGGAATGGATCCTGTGGGATGGTCAATCATACAAAAATCAAGGTTTAATTTGGTTCCAGGGACAGTGAAGTCACAAATAGAATTTTGCAGTGTCATCCCCACCAGGAGCTTATTATGACTCTAAGAAGTGTGCAACCCCAGTCACCTTTGGGGTGTGGAAAATTTGGGTGATCCCCTGCGGGCTTCGTGTTTTGGGGAATTTCCACTGTGACAACTGCTTCTGGGCTCCTGCTGAGACCAGGTGCTCTGAGCACTCAAGCAGCCACAAGAATAGTGTTCCCAGTTCAATCCAAAAAGACTTACGGCTCATGTTTATATATTAGTAGATAAAGGATTAGGAAGATAGCAGGTTTGTTGGTGCCTGGGGCTGCCTGCCCAGTTGTGGCAGTCTGCCCTCTTCTCTAACTCAAGACCGTTTTTGGTATTTCTGAGGTTTTCTGGTCTTGGAATAGATATGGCACAGTGGCCACAGAGCCATCAAGTTTTGATGTGGTTCTAGGAATAGATTTTACCAAATTTTACCATTTTTGCCAAATTTCTCCTGTATGGTGTTAGGTTGGGAAACCCAAATACAATTTACTCTGCTGTCCACACCCAGCCCACACGGACCTGGTGACGCACCACTGGACTCCATGCTTACCCACCAGTAAACCCTTATTATCCATGTTCTTTACAAAATGTGCCTGTGAATAAACACCCAGAAAAATTTCCTGGGAAGATCAGAGCAGAGTTCGTGAATGTGTTTGTTAATCCCCTAGCCATCAACTTTGTTAAAGCATAAGCTAACTCAGCAAAGTGCTTTGTACCAAAGCATTCGCAGGGATCCTCAATGCCATGTCACTTCCCATCACTTACTCCCCAAGAATGATGTGCATTTGACAAAGGAAGCAATATTCGAATGGAAGAGATTTCGATGACGATGTCGCAAAACCCCATATTTGCTCACAAGAGGGGCAGATTTCTCCATAATTTTTATAACTTACTTTCTCATTGCCCCAATTAATTTGCTCTCTGATCAGGTGGACAGATGACTTCGGTAGCATCCATCTCCCTACATCTCTGTCTCGACCGAGGTAAACAAAATAGATGAGCAGTCCATGAAAATAGCTAGTTGATGAAAACACTTGTTTTTAGAAAAGTTGGAGTCATTAAAAATGGCACAGGACTGGGAGTTAGAAGATCGGGGGGACAAATGCCATCACCTTAGTTGTGATACTAGCTCCTTGGCCCTCGTGCAGATTACTTCCCAGCTAGGTCCTCAACACCCTCCTCTGAAGGGGAAGAGTTTTGGTGATGCCAAATCCCTTTCTCTCTCTAAACACTCTCTAATGTTGAGTTTACACGAATTTCCTTGGACTTTGGCAGATTTTCACCACAGAGGCCAGATAAAGGTAACAGATTCTAAGACAGCAGTTGCTGTTTTTGGCATGTCCAGTAAACTTGCAAAAAAAAAAAAAAAAAGAGTCCCCACATTAAGCTATCTTCATAAACACTCTTATTAAATTTAAATATCATTCACTGTCCTTTCTACTTTCCTATGTTGCTCCACCACTTCCCTCAACCCGAAAAGAAAAGGAAAGAAAAGAAAAGAAAGGAAAAGAAAAAAAAGCAAAGAAAGCAAAAAAAGCAAAGAAAGAATAGAAATGAAACTCTCATGTTTTCTTCCTCCTTTGTTCTTGGAAAACCGCCTGGGATCACTTCTTCTTCTTCCTTGGCTTCATCATGTCACCTGTACGATGAAGAACAGAGACATCAGACTTCAGGGTTTCCCTAATGGGTATTCTTGTGTGGGTAGACATTCACCCTGACCTGGGACAGTGGAAAGTCAAGGACACTTAGCTACTTAGGTAAGAAGATGTACTTTGTGGAGTTCTGAAAACCTTCCACCTCTACAGAAAGGACAAGAAGAAGCTCTCTTGTCCCCACTGGTGCTTGACTCATAGGTAACCTGTTGACCAATAGTGTCATTTGCCTTCACAGGGTTCTGTAGGTCAAATGTGAGCCACTGATTGAAGTTGCTCTTGGCCAAGTGTTTACAGGCTGCACACAATCCATCTGGCATATTGATTGGATATTAGTGAGCTCACTGGAAAGGCTTTCTTCTGCTAAAATTATAGCCCTGCATTTCTAGAAGGACTTCCATTCAACAAGTTGGTACCCTCTCTATTTATTGATCATAAGTCTTTGCATACGCTCTGAAGTTTCTAACACTCCGTTAGCACATTATCCTTCCCACCTGTTGTAGATGTCATCAATCCTACTTTGAAAACTTTTCTCAAATCAGCCTCTCCTTGCGCATTCCACAGCCCTGTTAGTCCTGACTCAGTGCCATAGAAACCTCATGCTTCTACTTCCATGCTTTACCCTTCAAGTCCTGCCCCAGTCCATAAGTTGTGTCCTTAAATGTCTTCTACTAATTTTATTTTGCTAGAATTGCCCTCTCAGAGGTGATAGTGACTGATGACTTGAAGTCTCCTTCATCACACTGATTTTCTAGGACAGCCAACTCCTAATCACACAGACCTTGGGGTCATCCTATATTAATGCCTCTCAATATTTCTAAGTACAGTGCTCTCTCTTCTTCTTCTTCTGCGCATCAATCCAGATATCCTCAGTCACTCTAGGGAAGCCTTCCTAAGCTACGCAGCTTTATGTCCTTTTCATTTATGCTCTCACTCATTTTTTGATGTAGACTCTCTCCTGCCCCATCAGGTCTTCTGTATGTTAAGTCTCCAAGTACAAACCCAGAACCTTCTCTTTTCTGAAGCATACACTCTTTGCCTGTAATAAATCCTTTGTCAGCTGAATGACACATTAATTCCTTCATTTTCAAGAGCTTGGGCAACATAAACTTCTCAACTTAGTTGCCCCTGCGGTCCCTCTGAAGGCTTCTAAAACCCTCTTACCAACCCCAGCCATTCGAGTTTAACTGTAATCATAACCACACTCCTCCAACCCCAGGTGCCCAGGATTGGAGAGTCCTTCTCCATGGATGAAATAAAACAGATACTGAAGGCTTAGAGAGAAAAAGCCCAGGAGAAGTGATGGCCAGAAGTTCTTTTGGGGAGGAAAGCAGGTGGCTCCTTCCTGGGATCAGAGTCTCCCACATCTAACACTAAGAACCTAGACAGAGCACTAAGACATTGACATAGGCCCTCAAATACACTAGAGAAGGCATCGTCCCAAAATGTGTCTCGGGACAGACTTCCAACAGTCATCTCTTCTGTAGTGATTTACGTGTGTGAACATCACAGAAATCATATTTTTCTTTTGTTCATAGCAGGTGGAAGGTGAGTCCTTATTCTTGAATTCTCTTGGAGCTGAGCAGTCTCTAGGCTTCTCTGAGTCTTCAGAATTTATCTCTGACTCTGATTCCAATACATGGCTGGAGATTAGGGAGCTGTTGACTTAGTAATAGGTTGTAATATCTTACTCAAACAAAGTCCACAACATGCATTTCATATTCTGATTGGGAAATAATGTTGTTTGTTATCCTTCTTTCCTTCACGGAAGGGTAATTTTTCCAGTGGAATGCCTCCTAGTTGGCAGTTAGGAAGCTAAGCCCAACCCTGATTCATTTTAGTCCTTTCTTTATCCTCTGTTAGATAGTACCAAGGAATAGAGATATCCTAGGCCAAACATTTAATGTTTGTCTTGTGCAAGATCCAAAAGTTTTCTGCTGTCATAGCAAAAAAAAAAAAATAATAATAATCAACATCACTATGGATACCATATATAATTATATTCCTTATTATTCCAATAGTCAGAAAACAGAGCAAGTAAAAACATTATATTCACTAAGATTTATACCTATGTGTCTACAATCACAAAAGCTAGTGCTGCTAGACTTTGAACTGAAAATTTGGAGAACATTTGCCTAGTTTCCATGGGTTGGCTTGGAAAAGGGTGAGAAGGCAGATGGTTGGGAAGATAGGAGGTGTTATAAGAATGAGGTTTGAACATGAATGAGTAAAAGTTTCAGTGCAGACGTAGCATGAAGGAGATGGAGCTGAGGTTCTGGCTGGAGAAATCCTTGTGGGAAAAGAGTCAGTGAAAGAAGGAGAAGCAATAATCCAATATGGATTCCGAGCTGAGGGAGATGAAATTAGGACAAGAAAGGCAAAAAGGAGATATATTTCTGTTATTAATCAAATGCTGCTCCTGTGGTACCATGCTTTCAAAATACATATGGAGTTATCTCCTGATAAGAGTCTTTTTTTATGAAATGATCAGAGGCCATGTGCAAGGCAGAAAAAAACCTTAAATTTCTTCATGGCTAAAACCAAAGATGGCCTCTAAGTAGCTTTCAGCAATAAAATATCTCTTAAAAAAATCTGGTCTACAGAAAATATTAAAGGAAGGTTTTAATGTCCTTCTCTCCAAGCCATAGACACAAAGTCACTTGGTTAGACTTGAATTTTCAGCTTTTGAACTCTCCTTAGGGGGGAAAGGATTTATGGTCTCAGGTCCTGACAAAGGATAGTCTGACTCCTGGTACATGGCCCTCAGGAATGTTAGCAGAGGGGTCAAGGGCCAGAGATAAGCTGATTGCCTCTCCAGCCACACCTACCTAGAAAAGGCCCTGCCAAGTTCAGCTGGGAGCACTTAGTTCATTTTTGTGCCTGATAGATCCTTTGGGTTGTGTTTTTCTTTCTGAGGAACTCCTGTCTTGATGTCAGCAGTCTTGTGTCTTATCAAGGAAAAGAGAGAAAGAGAAAAAGAGAAAGAGAGAAAGAAGAAAGAGGGGGAGTGAGGGAGGGAAGGAAGGAAGAAAGGAAGAAAGAAAATTCAGCACTCCAGTGGCAGACAGACAAGGAGGCCTATCCTGGAATCCCTTGGCAACCCTTTTTTCCCAATTAGGGTGAAAAGAATCTGTCTGGGGCTTCCCTAGGTGCTCAGATATGGTGGCCCAAGCTTATAATGATCTGCGGAGCCTGCTTCCCCTTGCCTGATTCTACTATTGTTTGAAAAATACATTCCATCTAACTATGCCCCCAAAATAGAAATTGAATCTTTCCTGGTGGGTCTCTGGTCCCTGTATGTGACCCTGTGCTTGTCCAGCCCTCTGTCCTATGACACATAAAAGCTAGCAGAGGGAAGGGGGGACATGGTGACAAGTCAGGAATGATGGCTCTCTGGAAACTCTCTAGAGCTCTTTGAGCCCCAGCTTCTTCTTGAGGACCAGCAGGACCTTCCTGAGGGCCTGACAGCTTTGTCTCCCTGGTACACAGAGCCAGATCCATGCACCCGCCTACTCCTGAAGGATAACACCCGCCATCCAAGTTCACGTTTGACTATTGGTATCACCTCTTACTACTGCCCTTCTCTCTCTTCTCTGACATGACAGATGAGGAGGCAGAAAGTAGGTAGACATTCAGCGAGTGTGGCCATCACTGCCACAGACCAGCAGCATTGGAATCTTTGGGTGTACACATTAGAGGGAGGGAATCCCACACTGTACCTTAGATCTCCTGAATGAGAATTTATATTTTAACAAGAGCCTCATTTTAACAAGATTTGGAAGCACATAAGTTTGGGAAGCCCTACTCTTGAGATCATGGCTCTTGACCCTAACTACAAATTAAAATAACTGGACAGCTTTAAAAAAAAATCAATGTCAAGTTCCCATCTCCATAGATAGGGATTTAATCGGTCTGGGGTGGACCTGAGAATTAGTATTTTTAAGACTCCCCTGGTGCCTTCATAATGTGGAATAAAGGTTAAGGACTATTACCAGAGAGATGCTTCCATATTAGATGGGTCTTGACTGATATTTCAGCTATGCAATTGTTGCTTTTCATCTCCTTCAGCTGCATACAGATGCATACAATTCAGATGCATACAATTGAAGGACAGGATGGGATACCCACATAGGAAAGGTTACTGATTTTTGAGGAGGGAGAATGAGCTTAACAGCAATGAATCCCACGTGCCAGGCCCTGTTTTGGTCACTTGACACTTCTCAAGTCCTTTATGGTCCTCCACGATGTCAGGAGGAGGGTGCTAGTGCTGTAGCCATGACGCACAAGGAAAGCTGGAAGACAAAGATATTAAGTGCCTTGCTCAGGGTCATGGGTCTACCAATAGCAGGACCAAGGTAGGAACCCAGGCAGCCTGGCACAGAACTTTTCTCCCAACCACTGCCTCCCATGGCATCACCAAAGCTCTCCTTAGAATTGTGCTGTCATCCAAGAAAGCTCATGTGTGTAAAGAGGTGACAAAGTAGGGTTAGCCCTGGATTTGGACAGAAGATGCAGCTGCTTACATGTCTCCACAGATCCAGAACAGATTTGGAGAGGCTCAGAGGTAGAAGAAGCACACTACTGATCGTCCACACCTCGACAATGCTAAATCACATGCACACTCCCATGGCAGGCATTCACCGGGGCTGTCCTAGGCAAACTAGCAGGGTGGTCACCTGACTTAGAGGTTATCCCATCACTGAGAAGTTGAAGTGTATTGGCACAGCTTACATGGTTGGTTTGTGGCCAGGTGAGAGACATACCCTGGTTTTTTTAAATTTCAATTCCAGTGTCCTTACCCCTACTTTGCACTGTCTGCCCTAACGAGCATCTATTTTTCAACAGCTCTCCAACCATTATACCACAACACCATCATCTGTGCTACTTAAACTCTCTGCTCAATACTTGCATCTCCAATCATTATCGTCTCTCCTTGACTGCTGTCTCCAGAAGCCCTGTGCACCAAGTCCCATTTAATGCCTAGAGGGAAAAGTCCTTAGACGTCCTCTGTCTGCATTGATTGATCCATTGGATACACCAAAGGAGAGTCTTTGGAGAGTCAAAGATGGATAAGACACACTCATAACCCTTAGGAACTCAGGGTTTTGTGTAAAAACCCATCTCTGTGCAGACCATAGGCATATGGTCACAAGAGGTGAGTTGATATGATTAAGTGGGTGTGAGACAGGCAAAGACTGGGCGTTGTGATACACTAAAACCCACAGAGGGGAGGGACAACATCAATGTGTAAAGAAAACAAGTAATTTGGTGGTTCTGCTGATGCACGCATTTAGACAATGGAGAGCAAAAGCCACGGGACTGGTTCACAGAGCCCCCCGTGTGTCATTCCAAGAGTTTGGACTTTCATCTGTAAACTGGGGAAGGCTTAAAGTGTTTTAAGCAGAATAAGACACAGAAAAATGTGCTCACATTGATAGCTTTGTTTAGTTTTAGGCAATTTAAAGTGTTCACTGCAACTGGGATGTTAAGTGACCTAATTTCTCTTTTAATTCTTACTAGACCATTTGTAATTACGATCCATTTAGAACTTAACCCATTTATGATCCTATTCTAATGCTATATAGGACTTTTGGCCCAGTCTATTCTTTTTTTTTTTTTTTAAGATTTTATTTATTTATTTGACAGATAGAGATCACAAGTAGGCAGAGAGGCAGGCGGGGGATGGGGAGAGAGGCAGACTCCCTGCCAAGCAGAGAGCCCAATGTGGGGCTTGATCCCAGGACCCTGGGATCATGACCTGAGCTGAAGGCAGACGCTTAACCCACTGAGCCACCCAGGTGCCCCTTGGCCAGTCTATTCTTGAAGGAGTTAAAAATCTAGACAGAGGACAGGGACATATGGCCACCTATTTGTGTGACTGTCACTCACCCCTATGTCCACATGTGCACGTGTGTGGGTCCACATGGAGATGCTAGCCTATTTGCTCATTGGGACCTAACTGTAGCAAAAAATTGGATGAAGCTCTTAACCAATGAAGCTTATTTAAAAGAGCTTTGTGTTGAAAATAATATTAAATTTGGTGAAAAATTTTTTAATTTAGCAGACGTCTTAAAGTCACTGTGGAGTAACAACTTAGAAGTTAATCATAATTCAGACAATTGTTTAAAAAGATTATTGTTCCATAAGCTCTGAGTAATCAAGTTTTTCTCTGCAAATTTCAAATGGATTAGTTTCTTCCTTTCTTTCTTCTTCTTTTTTTTTTTTCTTAATTTTCATATAGATTTGGGGGAGGCATCAAAAATCCTTACCAAGAACTTCAAGGAGCCAAACTAGTTAGAATTAGATGTCAACACATCTGAAATGTCAACACATTTTTTTTTCCTCCTCTCTGGATTCCTGTGAGTTGGAATCCTGATTTTGGGAGTAAATTTTAGTATTCCGTGTTTTAAGTGTTTGCTTTCAAGGATAGTGTCTTTGAGATTTCCCCAACCAGTTACATTCTCCAAGAGTAGAAAACATGTGAAAAAGCCAAATGGCATGCTTATTTCTCTGAGGTCTCATTTTCTTCTCATAAATATACACTCTTGGGGTGCCTGAGTGGCTCAGTGGGTTAAAGCCTCTGCCTTTGGCTCAGGTCATGATCTCAGGGTCCTGGGATCGAGCCCCGCATTGCATCGGGCTCTCTGCTCAGCAGGGAGTCTGCCCCCCTCCCCCCGCCTGCCTCTCTGCCTACTTGTGATCTCTCTCTCTTTCTGTCAATTAAATAAATAAAATCTTTTTAAAAAAGAAAGAAAGAAATATACACTCTTATGAAACCGTTGTGGGTTTTTTTTGTTGTTGGGTTTGTTGTTGGTGTTGTTGTTTTTGCTTACACGGGCTTATGTTTCCACACCAGTTTATAGATTGGGTGGAAGATGCCACTTGTGCCATTTCTATTTTGATAGAACAGAATGGCATGTGGGCGTGTGATGTGGGGGACTGTATGTGACTCTTGTTTCCTTATATACAAAATCAGGGTATGCTTCCTGTACTTCCCTTTGGGGATGGGAAAATCATGATTATTTTGCAACCTGACTCTTTGACAGTTACTTTTCCAACAAAATAATATTCTGGGGGTGGGCTGGTGGAAGAAGCAAGGAGGAGGATAAAGTCTTCCATTTTAAAATCAGCTGAGTTAAGGTTTTTTGGTTTAGTTTGTTTGTTGTTGTTTTTAAGAAGCAACATGGTTCCAGCTGCCTATAATTAGAAAGCTTAGCTTACTGACATATTCACTTTGCCCAAGACCCTGTTTAAATGAGAATTCCCATCTCAAGTATAGGATGTGATTTTATCTGGTAAATGTTTTACTAAGGGTTGAGAGGCAACCTAAATGCAGAAGGATGGGAAATCATCTGGGAAGGCACTGCTGAGGTTAGAAAAACAAAGAGGGTCTCTGGACCCTTATCCTTCAAAAAAGGAAACTTTGACATGTAACAATTTGTATCCCCCAGTCCCTCACTTACGGGAGGAAGAACCTAAGTTCTTTTTTTTTTTTTTTTCCATACTCGGGGTGGTGACACCTTGCTCTCTGGGTCCTGAGCTCTCTAAACAAGATTATTTTTAGCCTTGAAGTTAAATGAGGTATTGTTTGGGGGAGGATGGGAGATAATTTGATGGGGTCCTTTGAGAAAATCCAAAGTTCCCCCAGGCTTTCCCTCTACCTACTTTGGTAGGACCTGTCTGAATCCTTTGGACAAAGGCATTAAGCATTACTACCTTCTGCTTTTGGACTAGTTTCTCCTTCTGTTTCCAGGAGGGGTGGAGAGCGTGTAAGGAAGGCATGCCTCTGTAGGTAAAAGAGAAATAAACTGACCCCATTTCCAGTGGTTGAGCTTCTCTCCAAGTAGATAGAGGCCAGCACTAAAGATGTAGCTGAGAGAGAAGAAGGCTGTTAGACCCACCGGGCTGAGTTTGGCTAACACAGGATACACCCACGTACCCGTCTCAGAGTAGATCCATAGGACCCTGCAGAAAATGACAAGTCACAATAATTAGGACGGCAGGGGCTGGTTGGTGGTGGAGCCATTTTATCCTCAAGATCAATGGGGTTCTGGAGCCAAGGGAGATGAAGAGAAGCCATGTGGATCATTTGCCAACAGCTGAGGTGTTCCACAAACCTACAGAAGTGATGCTTTTCTGGATAAACAGACTTGATTCAAAGGGACATCCTATTTCGCGTAAGCTGGACTTGGCTATTTTACCTAATCTGTTAGAATTCCGTGTTGGCGAAAGAACATGGGAGAACATCAGACACATCATCAGCCAAAGAGAGTATGTGAGGACACGAATTATTCCTTTCCCTGAGAGGTATGACCTGCTGAGACATTGAACTTGCTGAGATGGCATCATTCCCTGACTCTCAGCCAGGCAAGCGGGTTTGCTTTTCTGTACCTAAGAGTCAGGTGTAGCTTTTCATTAGCCCTCCAAACCTGTTGGAGTCGGAGGGACCAAGATCGACCACTATTGTTCTACTACAATATGCCTTTTAGAGGTAGGAGGGGTTTAACTGTCGGCCCTGATTTCAGCTACTGAATATAGCCATGGACAGAGCGTTCAGTAGGAAGGGATGGGTTTACAGGAGGCTCAGATCTTGCTCATGTGAGTAGAGAATAGAAGTCATTTCTGGTAGCCAAGAGAAGGAAAAGAAATGCTAGGAGAGGAGCCACGATGTCTAAGCAAAGCCCAAAAAATGCAGTATGCTGGAAACCAACTGCACTGAAAGATGCCAAAATCTGAAATAACTTTTAAAATTAAATATGAGAAACATGATGTATCAACTACAGTTTATAATTGGTTAAGAGGACAGAATCTGGAACCAGCCTTCTGTGATCCAAATCCGAGTTCTGCAACCTATTAGCTGTCTTACCTTCAGTAATTTATTCAGCCCTGCTGTCCCCTGCCTTCGTGTGAAAAGTGGGGAGTGCAAACAGGATCCATATTGTAAAGGTGTTGTTAGGATTAAGAGAGTTAACACATGTAAAATAAAATAGCGCCTGGCCCATTGTGAGCCTTTAATCAGAGTTCTAAAGCTTCTCTCTTCTTAGGGATGGCACGGAGGGGTCCTAGCAACCTTTTTTTGAGGCTCCTTATCTCTTGTTAATAATTAGGATAGGCGAGGTCATGCTTCAGAAACAGCATTCAAATTTGGATACCTCAGGTTATCAAAAGATTTCAGAGGGAAGAATAAAATTCTGAGCTTAACTTCAGAAATCCAAGTGCACTCTTGGTTATTTTAGATACTTCAGATTTGTCAAAGGCTTGTGGAAGAGACAAGGACTAATATGAGGGTCAGGCCTGGGGTGAAGCTAGAGAAGCATGAAATTTAAGGGGCCATCTCTCTCTCTCAAAGGACACAATTAATAAATTGAAAAGGAAACCTATGGAAAGGGAAAAATATTCTCAAATCATATACTTGATAGAGGATTAGTGTACATAATATACAAAGAACTCCTCCAACTCAACAATGGCAAGAAATAAACCCAAACAATCCAATGAAAAATGGACAAGAGACCCAATAGACCTCTTTCCAAAGAAGAGATACAAATGGTCAACAAACACATAAAAAGATACTCAACATCACTTATTTTTAGGGAAATGCAAATCAAAACTATAACTAGATACCACTTCATAACCATTAGGATGGCCACCATCAATAAAATATCAAGTGTTGGAGAGGTTGTGGAGAAATTGGAACCCTTATGCACTGTTGTGAGGTACAAAAAAACAGTTTAACTGCCATGGAAAACAATGTGGCAGTTACTCAAAAAATTAAATATAAAATTACCATATGATCTAGCAATTCAACTTCCTTATCTATACCCAAAAGAATTGACAGTAAGAACTCAAAGGGATTATCTGTATACCTGTGTTCATAGCAGCACTATTCTCAATAGCGAAAACACAGAAGCACCCAAGTGTCCATTCATGAATGAACAGAAACATAAAATGTGGTATAGATAAGCAATGGAAAATTATTAAGCCTTAAAAAAGAAAGAAATTTTGACACATGCTGCAACATGAATGAACCTTAAGGATATTATGTTAAATGAAATTAGCCAGTCACACACACACAAAAATATATGGTCTGATTCTCCTAGAGTCGTCAAATTCATAGATACAGAAAGTAGAATGGTGTTTATCAGGGCTTGAGGGAAGGAGGGAATGGGGATTTACTGTTTCATATGTACAGATACTCAGGGCACCTGGGTGGCTCTGTTGGTTAAGCATCTGACTCTTGATTTCGGCTCAGGTCATGATCACAGGGTGGCTGAGATCGAGTCCTGCATTGGGCTCCATGCTAAGCATGCTAAATCCTGAGATTCTTCCTCTCTCTCCCTTTCCCTTCTGCCCCTCTCCAGCCCCCCACTCTAGATTAATTAATTAATTAATGAAATAAAATCTTTCAATAGACTTTGATAGGTCTTCCTCACCTGGTTCATATTACACTGTGTTTATCTATGGTGATAATAACTCCGTTCCTGGAGCAGACCTCCTATCAAAATTCTTTTTGGAAATAAGGGAAGGTCCAAGGCTTTTCCTGAGCCTTCTGTTTCTTAAAAATAATGGACTATTACTCAGCCATCAGAAAGGATGAACACCCAACTTTGCAACAACATGAATGAGACTGGAGGAGATTATGCTAAGTGAAGTAAGTCAAATAGAGAAAGTCACTTATCATATGGTTTCACTTATTTGTGGAACATAAGGAATAGCATGGGGAAGGGAAAAATAAAGGGAAGAAATGGGAGTTAACGAACCATGAGAGACTATGGACTTTGGGAAACAAATGGAGGGTTTTAGAAGGGAGGTGGTGGGGGGATGGGTGAGCCAGTTTTGGGTTTTAAGGAGGGCGGGGATTGCACGGAGCACTGGGTGTTATATGCAAACAGTGAATCATGGAACACATTATCAAAAATTAATGATGTACTGTATGGTGACTAACATAACACAATAAAAAAATAATAATGAGCCTAAAATACTCTTCAAAGAGTATTTTTTTGTCAATGTGTCAAAGAGGCACATTTTGGGTGGAAATTCTGCTCCCCTACCTTATCATTTTGACCAACACTGGAGTTCTATGAGATGTGCATTCCATTGTCTTCTGCACGTCTGCTTCTTATGGTAAGCCAGGAAAGGTTTAAGGGACAGAAAGTAAATCCCCAAAGAGCTGGGGTTAGGAATTTGGGGTCAACAAGGAGACCTGAATGCACTCCAAATAGATTGTTTTAATTAGTTCACTTTGTTTACCTTGTATACTAGAAATTAGGGCTCCTAATTTCTATGCCCATTTATACAAGAGAGTCAGCAAATAAGGACATTCCCCTAGAGGCCTGGAAAGTTTCTCTTTATTTACTTCATTTTTGTTTCCTTCAGCATAAGGTTCCACAAAGGAAAGTTCCTGAGGTAAGTTCATGAAGTCTGTAGTTTCACAGAAAAGTGCAAAGAAAGTTAGAGGTGTGTGAACTGTCAGCGGAAAAGTAATGAAAACAAACACGGTATCAGGCAAGAGGGCAAATATTTGATGAAGGGAAGCCAGCGAGAGGCTTGGGGAGGAGATGATCGTACTGAAGTGGGACCACTTCTTTTTTTTTATATTTTATTTTTAAGATTTATTTATTTATTTGCGAGAGAGAGGGAGAGAGCGAGAACATGCACATGAGTTGGGGGGGAGGGGTAGAGGGAGAGAGAAGCAGACTCTCCACTGAGCAGGGAACCTGACATAGGACTTGATCCCAGGAGTCTGGGATCATGACCTGAGCTGAAGGCAGAGCGCCCCTGGAATTACTTTTTTATGGCTTGCTGGAATATATGTTGAAAGGTGGTGGGAGAGAGAGAGAGAGAAGGAGGAGGAGGAGAAGGAGCAGGAAGGAGGGAGGGAGGGAGGGCAGAAAGAAGAGAGGAAGGAAGGAAAGAAAGATGGAGGCCAAAATGAAAGTCACCACTATCTTCTTAGTCAATGTCAACTCTTCCCCAGCCCCATGCAGGATCCTATGAAACCGTATCTAAATGTTTGTCTGCTGCACTCCACTCCAGCTTCCTTCATCTCAAAGGGATGAAAGATGTAATTGTCTACTTGCTGGGCTTTCTTGCATCCTTCAATCCACTTTCCATACCACAAGCTACTAGTAATCCAGTAATCTTTCCAAAAGAGAAAGCTGCTCATGGCACTCTCCTGCCTCCAAGGGATCCCCACCAATGCCTTCGGAAAATACTCAAGCTCCTTTACCCAGCCTACCTGGCCTTGCCCTGCCCCCGCTGTCTGCCTCCAGATCTACAGCCCACCCATACTGGATCCTTTTCTGTTTCTTAAATGAGCCGAGCTCTGCTGCTCTGGGCCTTCCCTCATGCTATTGTCTCTGCTTGTAACACCTCAGACATTTTTACTTCCCAAGACACACTTCTCCTTGGCCTGTGCCTGGCAGAACCATACTTATGCTTCAAGTCTCAGCTTAAAAGTCAATTTCTCTAGAAGAGATTTCCCAAAGTTCCTATATCACTCATTCAGTGAGTTCTTATTCTACACACTTCCTTTACTATGAACTTACCTTGTTGCTTATTGGACTGTCTTTCTCCATAGCCTGGAATGGGACAGGGAGCTTATCTGTCATGCACATCTGTTTCCCAAGGGCCAAGAAGATGGCAAGTTTGTAGATCTTTACGGGAATGGCTTTTCAGGGAGGTTCTGCTAGCACGTTTGGTTCCCTTTAACTGCTGTTCAATGTGGCTGCTGTGGACAGCTCTTGGCTGCTTGATCCACCAAGGATACCACAGCCTCTGAAACCCGGGAGACGGACCCATAGCCTTCCAAATTCTAGTTAATCTACTGCTCACTTCATTAACACTTTGAAGAGGCCAATCATTCTGTCCCTCATTTCAGAGAACAATTTTATATGTCCTTCTAGAGCTGTCTGCCACATGGATCTATGTGAGTCAGGCTGAGCAGGCACAGATTGGCAGCCAAAAAT